CCTAACCTTGTCCTCTACGTCATCTTACCTCACTTCCTTAACCCTGCCCCCTGACCCAAACCTATAAAAAGGACTGCTTTATTCACTAAACCGAGTTCCTGCTTCGACAGATCTCCCGGCTCGGTGGTGTTTTATTCCCTGGGGAATCTGGGGAGGTCCAGGCCGTCGACATTCACCATCCAGCTCAGCCACGAAGGGTGTCCAGCTGGACTGGCCACTTTCCTCTCAGCTCCACTTGCCAGATATCGACCCAGCAAGAGACTAGGATTTATTTCATTAACCTAGAGCACAATGTTGGGCAATGATTACTCCATCCTGAACCTCCAAACTCACATAGTTTCCTACCATTCAGATTTTACCCATTATACTTTCTTTTAGTTATACTTAGGTCTGGTTCATCTCTCCATGTGGTTCCAAGTTCTCTCCTGCTGACCTCTCCCCTATTTCTCCTACTCACTTCCTTCTCTTCTCCTCTGGACCAGGACGCCCCACCTATTCTCTGCATTGCTCAGCACTGGGACTGGTTGCTTAACTGACAATATAGAGAACAAATAGTGGCATGTTTACACAAACTTGAGACAGGTGATGCTTAGAATAAGCATCACAATGCAATGTCTGGATTGAAAGCAGATAATGGGGTAGAGAAATCCACATTTAAATGAACAAGAGTAGATTGTATACATTCCATAAGAACATTATACCAACATTTCCCCCTTTAAGTCCAGTAAAAGGCTCCTTTTCTTTCAATACAATAATACTTATAAAATTATAAAAAAATATTAGGTAAAATTTACATGTACAATGTCCAGTCCATGTGTATTTGGCAACTTAGGAGAAAGTATCTGATTATCTATCCTATCTTGACAAGTTTAGAGTTCTATACGTAAATTAACTTTTATCCTTATTGGTATTACCTATATGAAAATATTTTCTTAAATTCTAAGCTTAATTGTATAACTATAACTATTTGGTCTTCAACCCCACCAGAGACTTGAGAAGGAATAAAATTAGTTACTGGAGTAAATAGAAAGTGCATGTTAACAGCTTCCAAAAAATAAAAAATTGACAGAGACGGTTTGCTGCCTGAACAGTCACCCATAACTCTCTATAATGTTGGATCATCATCTTCAGCCTTCTGGCTCAGAATATTTGACAGACAAATATGTGAAGCAGGAACTATTTAGGACTTGCTTACCCTGTCTTGGCAGAGTTTGGCAGTCGACTTGTCCTGCATTTAAGCTTGCCATTTTGGGCAGAATTATGTCTGTTGTGAAACAAGGGTATTTTCTTTACCCGAGTGGCTCATTTGTCATATTTGAAGCCATCTCCATATGGAGGTTCTTCGATGCTCATCATCTTCTTTGAGGTAGGTTGGGTGCTGCCAGGAGATGACCTGTCTCGTTGTTAAAGAATCTTTAAAAAAAATAAAGACATTTTAAAATGCCATATTCTGTAGATCTCTGAAGTTTTTGAAGACTACCTATCTTTATGTAATCAACCTGTCTAAAAAAATCATATCTACCTGTTTAAGCTAAGTTGTATACTCCCGAGACAAATTAGACTAGTATCTGACATGACTATGAGTTGATTAACTAGCAATTAACTTGCATTACCTAATACCCTAAATAGTTTGTAATAGTAGTTTAAAAGTATTGGAAGTAACCTTGAATTTGTATCAATATACTAAAATTTACCAATGTATTAAAAATAGAGTTATTTTTGCATCAATATACAAAAGCCTATACCAGAGTTAAAATTATCCTTATTTGAGAATAACAAATAAAACCTTAAATTGAGTAGATTCAATAATTTACCTTTTGTCTTATTATTCCTGTAAGATATCCCTGTATTCCTTTCTTTCTTTTCAACCCCTTTTCTCCTTATCTAAGAAAGACAGAGAAAAGAAAAAAGGAAAAGAGAGAAATCTCTGAGTCTAACCTTGTTTTCTCTCTGAATAAGACCATTAATAATTTATAACCATCTCCCAATGACAATGAACATTCATAGCCACAGAAAACAACCAAAAATCTACCCAAACCCCTTTAAAGGAAATTGGATGTCGTTCTCATGGATTTCTTCTAGCTGACATTTTGGACATGCAGAAATCCTGTTGGGAGGCCCAAAAGAAATTGGGAAAGATGGTTAATTAAGCAAGCATTAACATTTGTGGTTCAGTCTTTGAATGTTGAGAAATTTCATGTTTAATAGAAGTCCTGTTTAGAACAATCTAAAATGCTGGACCCATTGAGATTAGTAGCTTTCTTCAAAGCTCTCTTGGGAGCAGGCTTCGATGAGAAACAGCAATTGAAGCAGTTGAGGCAGGAACAAGCAGAATACTGGAACATGCAAGATGCTGGAACAGATGTGTCAATGTCTCAGCATGCTGGAAGGAGGATTCTGTCAGGTTTGAGACAGCGTATCTAGTATCCAGTCCTTTTGTTCTGCAATCATATAATTTCTCACAAGCATCATACAGTTCTAAAATTATAAATGTATGAGATCTGCAGGATGAAACTAAACTGTAAACCAATATTATCTATGCCAATATAAAGAATGGCATACTAAATTTTGAGGGTATTGTAGCCAAGAATTTATTGGCCATGTATTTTTGGAGTTCTCCCTTGTAAAGGGATCAGTAATATAAATTACCATTATTATTATTGAACATACAATTATTATCATGTTGAAATCAAAACAAGGTTATATAGATCAAAATATCTTTTTGGGGCTCTTGGGCACCTGTTTTATTAGGTAGGCTTAGTTGCTATCTATCTCCTGAGAGAAGGCCTCCCATTAGCTAGACAAGCTGGTTGCCTTGAGCAATAGAAAAGGCATGTTTTAAGTAGACTTTATATAAACTCCTTTTTATATTATGCTTAGAATTTAAGCATACCCTAGGTATCTTGTACCTGTTTAGAGGTTTAGGCCAAGGTTTTTATATATGTTGTAGCTATTTTTGTCCTATCCCCTTTTTATACAGAATGTGAAGTTGTGCCTTTATAGTCAAACTTTATATAAAACCCCTTTTATCTTTAGGATTTAAGCATATCCTATTCATCTTGTACCTGGGTTTTTACATTTATTGTGGCTATTTTTGGTTTGCCCCCTTTTTGATATGGGATGGACAGTTCTGCCTTTTAAACATATGAATTATAATTTTTGAGTTTTTAGGACTTAACTAGGCTGGCATGTATTTTGCCTCCTGTGTCTTTTTGCATCAGGCATGACAAACATTTGTCCCCCATGAAGATGTCTCACGTTTGAAAGTATAAGCCAGCTTCCAGAGCAGTGTGACATCATATCTCTTTACACAAACCTAAAATTGATGTGAATCCAATCTTTAGAACAGCAAGGACATAACATCTATTATTAAGAAAAAAGAACTTACATGGTAACCTTGAGGAAAATTTGTCATTTTTAATCTTAGACTATCTCTGCAAGTGACTAAACAGCAGGAGTTGCCACCCTGGCTTTTATTATGTAAATTAGGCTGATCTGGAACTCAGAGATCTGCCTGTTTCTTTTTGCTTTGTGTTGGGATTAAAGGCATGTGCCTTCACCAACTTGTTCAAAAATTTTTTTTTCTCAAATCCATATCATTGTAACTCAAAGCCTTTAAATGAAAATCACCAGAAACAAGAAAATTTTAAGTTTTAGGTCAGTTGTGTCAATTTAGGCTGTAACAAGCAAAGCCCAGTTGATTAGTTTTTTGGAATTTAGTTGATGTTATAGTGACTTGGTGGACCCTGGTGGACCCCAGAAAGAGCTGATAAGTATCTTGCAGCCAGAGAGCTTTGAATTTTAGCCACTATTAATCTAATTGTTATTGGAAGAGTGTCCTTTCTATTGTCTGTTAACTTAGTATTCCATTCCTTGGCTTTTTCCCTATTTTTCTCCTTGAACTTTCTTGGAGAAGGCATGGAGAAGAGCCATCACCATTAAGCATATTGCAACCAGATCCGACTACTATGACAACAAAACAAAGCCAAAGGGGATTAAAACATCCTCTGCCATGGCATTTTTTTTTTTTTTTTTTAATTTTAGATGCAGTTTTAGGCCAAGCTCTGTCTAGAGGTCTGTCTGCTTCCAGTTCCTTTCTTCCCAGCCATGGTTGCTTTTGTTGCTCAAGCTGAGCTGAGCCAGCCACAGTATAAGGAAGCCAGGCTTGTGTACCCCTCCTCTTTGACTGCAGCCAGTTTTGTTATGTTAAGTCTCGGGTCGGCCCTGAGCAGGCTGTCTTTTGCTCCTGGGCCTATTTAGAGTCTCTCTTAGAGACAGTAATTGACCTGGGAGCTTTTAGGTTTTAAGTTTGGGTTGTATCACTGGGAGCTTATTTCCCTCACCAAATTATGTTAAAGTATGATTTAAAGGATGTGGATGTTTAGATTAGTTGGGCGCCATTTGTTGTGGTTTATTAATATTTATTATTGATTTATCTTTTAGTTAAGTAGCGGTTATTTCTAATCCAGCTGTATAGCCAAATCACCACACAGAGACTAGGATTTATTTCATTAAGCTAGAGCACAATGTTGAGCAAATGATTAAAATGATTACTCCATCCTAAACCTCCAGACTCACATAGTTTCCTACCATTCAGATTTTACCCGTTATACTTGCTTTTAGTCATATCTTAGGTCCTGCTGCTGAGAAGCCTCAATTTATCCTGTAGTGGCTCTCTTCCTTCAATCATCCTGTAACCCTCCAACACTGACAAAGATCACCCTAAATCTGGGCCACACAGTCCTAGAAGTGGCTCATCAGGGGTGGTTAGTGTTTGCTGAGCGGATCAATTTAAGCTTCACAACACTTCTGTGAGATAGGAAGTTAATGAAGCAGAGGCAGGATCTTCCAACACCGGACAGCTCGGGCGTCACAACCACGCCTATTTTCTGTCTGCCCTACAGGTGGCGCTGAAGGACGCAATGAGGCCTGGCTGGGGGCGGGACTTCCTGTCTCTCTGGAGCACTTCCGGCCCCTTCCGGAAATCTCTGTGTGGATGCTCCAGCAGCTGTGGGCGGCTGAGGAGTGGCGCTCCAGCTTTTTCTGTGGCCCCAGGATCAGGTGAGACTGTTGCTAGGCACCGACTGCAGAAACCAGGGACAGACCGACTCCCTCGCCGAGGCTTATCATGGACGCTTGCGATGAGGGAAGGCGGTACGGGACACGTGTGAGCACGTTACCACACACCGGTCCTCAGTTCCTCAAACTATAAATTCAGAGCCTTCATGCCTCATCCAGGTGCTAGAGTTTCTACCTTTTTTGTTTGTTTGTTTTTCGAGACAGTTTTTCTGTGTAGCCCTGGCTGTCCTGGAACTCACTTTGTAGACCAGGCAGGCCTCGAACTCAGAGAAATCCACTGCCTCTGCCTCCCGAGTGCTGGGATTAAAGGCGTGAGGCCCCACTGCCTGTCCGTGAGTTCCTACTTTTATTCAGTCCAGGGGCATTTTCGGAGAGGCTTATGGTTGGCTGTGAGGAAGAGAGGAATAGTCCTCGTCCACGGAGAGGTGGAAGAAAGTCTGCCCGCCACTGTCATGCACAGTGTTTTAATGGACGCTCCGCCCTCATCAGCATCCCAGCTCATCCCACACTCTGTATATTCTGTGGTCTGCTTCTCACAGAAGTGTTGTGAAGCTTATCTCTTTGGCACTTTCCCTGCCTCAGCGCCTTTTTCACTCACTGATCATTCTCCCTGGACCCTCTTCCAAGGTGTGTGCAGAGCTATGTTCCTGGCTGCCCTTAGGGAGCCCTCACCTGCCCATCAGCCTCCTCCCCTGTGATGGGGGTGGGGGTGGTGAGCAGTTTTCCCGAGGCCCTTCTTCTCCAGCATTAGGCTTGCATAGTCTGGTTTTTACCTGCTTCCTTGTAGTGGACTCCCCGGAGGATGCTGGGTGCTCCCCGGGAACCTTGATGCCTTTTTCATTAGATACGTTCTCTCCAGGATGGATTTCCCCAGTTCCCTGCGCCCTTCATTGTTTATGGCTGGTCCTCTCGGCACTGATGGCCCTGACCTGTCCTTCATGTGCAGCTGGAGAGATGTGCTGACTCTGCCAGGGTTCCAGCCACAGAACTGTAAGGTGAGGATGCAAATAGGGCCTGTTCTTTGGTTCTCTCCTTATCATTCACACTCAGTGGAACAGGTGATGGGGAAAGAGGACCAGGCAGCTGCTATTTGCGATGTGTATGGGCCACCCTGCTATCCAGAAAGAGAGAGGCTGTGGCTCCTCTTTCCTCCCTACCGCCCGGGTTCGGTAGATGTTTATTGGCCAGTGTCTCTGTGTCAGGGTCCTTACGGGCCCAGGAGCCCAACTTGAGGAAGTCAGGCAACCCAACCTAGGGACTGCCAGTTACATTAGAGCACTCACACCCACAGGCAGACCTGTATAGTATGGCCTTGGCTCTATTGGAACAATGGCATGGCAGGGAAAGGGAGCAGGATTTCTGCTGGCCTCTTGAGAGGGACAGCTCCAGCTGCCTTATAGAATTGAGTACATACCGGAGAGCAGGTCAAAGAGAGGGTTTTGGGGGAGGGGTGTTCTTGGTACTTGGGACAAGGGAGCCTTGTTGGTACCTTCTTGGAGCCTCAATACCCCACTGAATAGCAGGACTCAGAGGAAGTAGCTGAGGAAGTTAGAGGTTATTGGGCTCTGAGTGGGACAGTCAAGACATGGGGGCTTCCTTCTTTGAAAGCTGGTGTGAATGGAATTTCTTCAATACGAACTTTAGAGTTGGCTGCCTGGGTTTAAGTTCATGCTTTCTCTTTATTGACTCTGTCACCTGGGGCACGTGACAGCAACCCCACGCACCAGTGTCTACATCAGCGAAGTGACCAGCTTTTTAGAGCTGTCACGGGGACTGAATGAGTTACACGCAGGAAGTGCATACCTGCCATGTTACTACTGTCCTGTTCCCCTAGGACCGGACATCGCCCTTGGCCAAGAACCTGCTGTGGGAACCAACGACACCAGGGCCCCTCCCCCTGCTGCCTCCTGGTCCTGGTAAGAGTCTCCTGAGCTCCCTCCAAGGACCTCAGCTATCACACATGCATGGGCATTCCAGACCCTGGATACCAACTATCCTGTTTCCATGCCTTTTCAGGCTCGTCTCTGACCTCTCTCCCCCCCTTAGATCCCTGGGACCCTGGTGTGACCGCTCAGGACCTCCTTTTCCGGGGAGGACACTGCTACCGGTCTCAAGTTGTGCTGGATGCCACTGAGCAGGTAAGTAGTCCCTGGGTGGGATGTGTCTCACAGCCTGAGCTGTGCTGATTGACAGCCATTCCTCCACAGCTCAGCCGCTTCCTGTGGGACCACGGGGACATCGCCTTTGCACCCCTGGGGAAGCTCATGCTGGAGAACTTCAGACTGGAGGGGAGCCGGGTGAGCAGCCGCCACTGGTCGGGAGGTCGGCCACCTCCCTGGTGAGACCAAGGGTGAAAACCTGACAGGTCTTCCTGCAGGGTTACTCGAAAAAGATGACCATAGTCAGCGTGAAGAGGCTGCTTCAGGACCTCGGTGGACACCAGCCCTGGGGGCAAGTAGCCAGTGAGAAGGCAACCATGGGCAGGCCTGTGATGGGAGGTGGACAGAGCTGGGACACTGAACATGTTTTTATCACATGGCTTTTCCAGCCCTACGCAGTCATGAGCCATGAGTTAACAAAATCCCCCAGCTCCAAACAGGGAAAGGGGGACTGATAATTGGTGGGTTGTAGACACAGCTATATCCAGGTGTTCAGAATGTTGACAGGGCTCTCTGTTCGCTCTTTCACTTCCCTCTGTCTGACTTAATTCAAGTAGCAACAGGATGGCTTCTTATTCCATGGGAAGAATCAGTGTCAAGTACCACAAATCCTGGGAAAGACTTTGCTTAGCCTGCCTGGGGTCATCTGCGAGCCACTCTCTAGGAGGCACGGAAGTGTTCAGGGTTTAGAATCCAGGAATGGGTTTGGGTGTATTCTAGGTAGCTAAGAAAGAGGGTCTCTGCTCGTCCTTCACTGTTTCAGCGCCATCCTCTGCTGCTCTGTCCCTGCCTAGGTGTCCCTGGGCTTCCCTCAGCCACCGGCTCCGTCGCTTCTCCATCCTCGGGGGTCCTGTCCTGAGTAGGTCGGTGTCATTGCTCATGGGGAGGCTTCTGCACGAAGAGCTGGCTCTCCGGTGGGAACAGTTGCTGCTGGATGAAGCCTTTACCGGGGGTGCTTTGGCCTGGTTGCCCGGAAAGACGGCACGGGCTGGACAGCTGGTCTTCCCTAGTGGCGGTGCCTTGGACAAGCTGTGTATCCTTTCTTCTTTGGTGGGGATCCTGAGGTCATCCACAGACTGGTCCAGGGCAAGAATGATATGGGTGTCCAGACTCCAGTCCTTGACCCCAAGGCTCAGATTTCCAGGACGTCAGTGTGAAATCAGGTGGCAACCCCCGGGTCCTTGAAGACCCAGGACACATCCAGCTTCGAGGGCCTGTACGGCAGGTAGTGTCCAGCACTGTCCAGGGTGAAAGTAAGAAGCCTTCCTCTCCCTCCTCCCTTCTTATCCAAGTACCACCCCCAACACACACCGCGAGCCTGACCTGTCTGTCCTCCCCAGCGCTTCTGGCCGTCCGCTCTGACTACCACTGTGCCATGTGGAAGATTGATAAGCGGAGGCCACCAGCACCCCTGCAGGTGCTGCAGGTGGAGAAGGGGGCCACTGGTATCAGCCTCAGGTGAGGCATGTGGGCTTCCTGGGATAGACAAGGGTCTGGGAGACAGGCTGACTTGCTGGATCGTAACAGCACCCTGTGCCCTGTAGCCCTCACCTGTCAGGAGAGCTGGCCATCTGCAGCCGTTCGGGAGCTGTGTGCCTGTGGACCCCACAAGATGGGTAACTCCCCTTCCCCCCAAAACCTTCCGTCCCAAAGCAGAACCATGGCTTTTGCTCCATGGCTCAGTCCTTCCGCCCAGCCCCTCAACAACCTTGTGTCCCCAACCCCCACCAGGCCCACACTCAATGGCCTGCCTTCCTCCTCAAGGCTGCAGCTAGTGTACAAGGACCCTGAGACACTTGCCTTCCGGGATCCATCTCCCTGGCGCTGGGCAGACTTCACTGCCCACCCGCGGGTGCTGACTGTGGGGGACCGCACGGGTGTGAAAATGATTGATGTCCAGGTATTGGTGCGAGGGGTCGAGAAGCAGTAGAGCCAGCCATGATGGGCTGTGGGGGGCCCGCCTCCAGCTTGAAGACTCAGGCTGACTGTGCTGTGTTCTATCCAGGGCCCCCCAGGCTGTGGCTTGCTCCTCTTCCGGGCCGGGGCAGAGGCTGCCTGCCAGAAAGGAGAGCGGGTGCTGCTTGCCCAGTACCTCGGTCAGCCAGGCCCCACCTGCACTCCTCTGCATCTCATCTGCACCCAGGTGAGCGGCAGCCTCCTCCAAGGTCTGCCTGCTAGCAGGCCTGATGCATAGCCATAGGAACCAGGGAGTGATGGGCCCCCTTGCATGTGACCTCACTAAGGCCAGGCGGACTGGGTCATCTGCAAAACCAGATCAGGACCTGGGAGAAGCTAGGGGTTGACTCTGGCTCAGGTCCCCAGGCGACACAAGTGTCTACTGTTGGGTGTGCAAGGGTGGATGTCAGGGACTTCTAAGCAAGGCTGTTTTCATGCCTCTTAGGAGAACCATTCTGGGATGGTGCTGCCTGCCCAGGAAATTGGAAAATGTTTTACGTTTGGTAGGCCAAGTTAAGAGGGACTTGAAGGCTGATAGGAGAGCCCTCCTCTGGGTGCTGGGTACATCCTAAATGCTGCTCGGCCTGGAAAGAATTATTGAAGGCTGGTATCAGCCATCAGCCAAACCCACCTCTCCCCTTCAGTTCTCGATCTACCTGATGGATGAGCGCCTCCCCCTGGTACCAATGCTCAAGTGGGATCATGGCCTGCCCTCTGCACCCCTGCTTGCTCGCCTGCTACCCCCAGCTAGCCCTGGCTGCCCACGGCCCCTGCTACTGGGGGGTCAGGGTGGACATCTTCAACTACTGCAGATAGCAGGTCAGCCAGGCAGGCGGGTTTGAGCGGGTGGGAGGGCTCATAAAGACATGCTAGGGCTGGGGGTGGCATGCCTAGCTCTCTGTCTCTTCTCCAGGAGAGGGGGCCTCCATGCCCCAGCTGGCCGGCCCTCCTCAGTCTCTGCCCTCCATCATGGACTCCCTCTCTGCCTTTCCCCTGCTGGAACCCAAGAGGCAGCAACAGCTGCAGGAGCGCCTAGAGGCACCAGTCATAGGTGCGATGGGCAGAAGGGGGTTGGGGTTGCTGTGGGGAGGTGTTGCCCAGCCCTGCAGCTCTTCTCCTTTCCTGTCTAGGTCTGGCCGCTGCCCCACCCTGTGCCTCTGCCCCAGGGCTGTTGTTCTTCCAGCTCTCAGCAGCCGGGGATGTCTACTACCAGCACCTACACCTCCAGCCAGCCTCCAGTCCTGGAGGAGAGCCACCTGACCACCCAGCACCAGCGTGCCATACACCTAGGGCAGCAGCACCTCCTGTGGACCAGGGGACGACGCCCTCTTGGACCCCTCAGGCCAGGGCCCATTGCAGCCGCTGGCTGGAGGCCCTGATGGAGCTGGCCCCAGCTCGTCCAGTGTGGGCTGCGCCCACCTTCTCCCACCGCCGTTTTCTGGGCCACATGGAGCTGCAGAAGATCCAGGGGAGCCTGCCACAGAAGCTACGAGCAGCCATGGCCAAAGGGAAGCTCCTGCGGCCTGGGGATCTGGGTACACTCCCCAGGGCAGAGCCGCCTCCTGCACCTGAGTGCAGCCAGAAGGATGAGCTCACTGAGCGCTTGGCAGAAGCCTGGGAAGGCCGGGCAGCTGCCTGGTGGAAAAGACATCAAGGTCAGACCTCAGGGCCCCAGACACAGACCAAGAGACCCAAGCGCAGGACTCCGCTTTCTAGCACCTTCTCCTCATTCACGAGCTACGTGGACTTCCCAGATACCAGCAGTGCCCCTCAAAGCCAAGGCCTCTCTACCTCAAAGGCCTGGTCTCAGCCACCAGGGACTCTATCCTCCCAGGAGTTAACACAGGATGGTGAGAAGCGACAGACCCTCCGAAACCACACGGCCAAGCTGCCACTTCAGGACACTCCCAGACCTGTGGCTACACCGCCTTCCCAGGCCTCCAGCCTCCGGGCCATGCCCCTCAGACAGCGAACACCAGTCCTCTCTGGCTCCCATCCTCCCCGGAAGAAGCCACGAATGGGCTTCTAAGTGTGAAAAGCTATGCCTGAGAACCTAGCCTTCATCCTAGAGACTTGCTTTGAGTTTAGCCACTCCAGAGCAGACCCTCTACCTCCCAAAGCACTGTCCTATGGAGACTTGAGCAGTTTAGAGCCAGGCTAAAGCAATGGGGAACAGTCTATTTTGTGTATTTGATGGCAGGTTATTTGAGAGAGCCAGCTGCAGAAGCTGCCTCAGGGTCACTGATGTTGGTACCCTGTGGGTCCCAAGTTCCCCAACTCATCCAGTGTGGGCTGCCCCCACCTTGTACTGCCATTTTTTGGGCCACAGAGCATGCCATAGAAGCTCTGAGCAGTCATGGGGTTTTGGGTATATTACCCAGGGCAAAGCCCTCACCCCCTCCACCTCAGTGCATCAGGGTTGCTGGAAAATATAGCCACTGTGTCAGTGTTAGCCTCCTGTCCTCAAAGGAAATGAAGTTGGGTCAGGGCCCTGTGTGCCCCCTGAGGTGGCACAGTGGGTCACCACCTGCTATTGTGGGTAATATCATGGGGACTATTGTGTAATAGTCCACATAGGTTCTGTAGGAGTTGATACTTTAACTCTGGCTCAGGGATTAAATAAACGTGTCCACTGGCCATGAGCTGGATGGTCATGTGGGCAGAGAATATGGTGTCTGGTATGGAAAGCTCTGCTCCCTCTACCTTGGAGACACACACAGTAGTGTCTGATGTGAAAAGCCCCACTCTCTCTGCGCCAAACACACACACTTGACAGCACAGTGGGGTGGGGTCTCTGGCCTCATCAGAAGAGCCTGACTGGCAACCCAGTAACATGCTGACTTGTGTGGGTCAGAAAGCGTTTATGTACTCAAGGGGTCTGTAACCAGGGGAAAGAGGAGCACTGGGTGTAAGTCACATGGGTATGGCTGCACAGTTCCTGCCGTGCAGGGTCCCAGAGTGCATCAGCAGCGATGCCCAGGACAGAGTGCCCTGCATCCACTTTGCCACCGCTAGCCTAACAGTGTAGACTGCCTTAGGGTTAGTCCAAGCCAAATTCAATATCTTCCAGGCCTTCCCTGGCACGGGGCTCCTCCAGGTCCAACAAAGACTGTGCTTCATTCTCAGCTCCTGAAGAGATAGGAGAAAACAAATCAGTACTTGGGTAGAGCTGCTCTCTGGCTGAGCAGTGGGGTCCAGGTTAGCCACAGACTCCTGAAATACCCCTTACTGTTGGGCAAGAGGAGCCCAGGGATTATAAGCCACCTCAAAGGTGGTCACCTCTGAGTGATGCAGAACCCCCTTTTATCACCCCCTCCCTGAGGTTCTACTGGCTGGAGGGTCTGCAGGTCACCTCCCGACATGGCCTCTTGAGTGTTACCTAGTGGAGTGGCTGCAGTCAGCTGGCTGTCTCCATCTTCACTAGACTGGCCAAGTGCGGGGTCACTTGCACAAGGTTGGGGCAGGAGTGACTGGTCTGGCTTTCCCTCTTCCAGCTCCTGGATGAGGGGTCTTGCAGAGGTGGTGCCAGAGTCGTGACGTTGGGTTTCCAATTCTGTTGTCGCTGTTGGTTTACATATGTCTGCGAAAGGTACCCAGGCTGTCTTTGAGAGGCCTTTGGAGAGTGCAAATACGTGTGAGAGCACACCTGTGTTGTCTGTGGGAGTGCCATCAAGCATCGAGAGGGAAGAGCTGTCCAGTTCGAGGTCACTGTCGTCACTCAAGCTGGAAATGGCCTGGATTTTTGGGGTGCCGGTTTCCTGGTGAGAGAGTGAACCGTGTCTGCTTTTCCCATGGTTGCAATGTAGAAAAGCACTTGCAAGGTTAGGGAGGATGCAGGCCAGTACAGGGCTAGGGGATGGACGCCTCAACCAGCAGTTTCTCTGTGCTTTACTCCCCACCCACACAACTCCCCTATATCACACCCTACCAGTGCCTGGACCCTAGTCTCCAAGCCACACCCCATAGCCCACTACTCTTCAGCCCACACAGCTGTGGCCTGTGTGCCTGTTTGGGGATGAGGCCTCATGCAGAAGTTCCCTCCAAAGCATCCTCTGGGGATGTGGTCTGACACAGTTGCTTGCTGGCTCCCTGGCTCCACAGGGAGGAGAGCCGGGTGTCTCGCCCACGTGCTTCTTCCTTCTAGGTATAGCTTTAGTAGGGGAGTTTGGGAGATGTGAAAAGGAACACAGCATAAGGCAGACCGTTCCCACTTCATTTCATGCAGCCACCCATAGAACTTGCCAAGTGGCTGAATCAAACCCTCAGAGGGGCTGGAGAGCGGCTGTTCAGTGAGGTGGAAGCGAGGCTGCTCTGCTCAGAAGGGCAGCTCACTTTCATGAGAAGGAAATGGCTTCTAAGGGACAGGCATGGGGTGCACTCCAGCCTAGCACTCCAGGGGCAGAGGCAGGTGGATCTCTTGAGTTCAAGGCCTGCCTGGTCTACATAGCGAGTTCCAGGCTAGCCATGGGCTACACAGTGAGACCCTGTATCAAAAGCTACAGAAAAAACTAGGCATGGTGCATGCCTGTAACCCCAGCACTTGGGAGGCAGAGGCTGCCACAAGTCTGAGGCTATTCTGGGCTAAGGGAAGAGGGTGCTGCTGACCTTTATCTGGTCTTCCGTAGACAAGTCAGTGCCATCAACATCTTCCAAGTCAGGCAGGTCCTGAAAGAGCCAGTGACCACATATCATCCAGAGACAACCGTGGAAGACAGTATCAACAGGAAACAAGATGTCATAAGGGACCATCACCAAGGCCCCGCCCACCCATGCCCACCAAAAGGCCTCAGCATGTTCAAAGTCACACTGCCACTTCCAGTCCAGCCATCTAGCCAGCGGAGGAGCATTCACAAGCTGGGCACGGGAAGATTATCGTAGCTGCTTCACTTTGTTCTGTGATAGGGAACCCAAACTCAAAAGTACCTCTTACACATAAGTCTGTGCCTCATGTACCTCCTGAAAACTAGAAAGCCACACCAACATTTCCTAGCTGTGTGGCCGTGGGCAAGTTGCTTACCCTCTGTTTCTCCAGTTCCTTCTCCATAATATTGGGATGGTAATATAACACTGCATACCTCAGAATACTCAGAACACTCAAGCAAGGCCGACTCGGATTCTGTCCTCGCTGTGTGCTATCTATTATCAGTTCTTGAAAAGCTTAGGCCATGGGCAGGAAGAGTGAGCCCCAGATACAGGGGTTTGCCTGCCCCCTGAATTACTGCTTTACTGGATTGCAGTTCTTGGGACAAGATGACAGTGTGTGGCTTTTCATGCCTTGCATGCAGGAAATACATGACTGTCATCCAAATGGGAGGAGCTTTGGGGAGTGGTAACACAGCTGTAACCCACCATTTGCTGGGAGGGACTGTGGACAAATTGCACTATGTGAATCAGCAGGAAGCCAGAGTGGGGACCAGCCAATGAGGTGGCCAGAGCCACCTGCCAGATTCTAGGAGTGAGGCCTAGCAGACTAGTGATGTACTGTGACTGTAGAGCTGACCACAGAACTGCTTTGCACTGTAAGGTCTCTGGAAACTCAAGGGTGGCCCTCACAGTCCAGGTGAGGTAAACGGACCAGCCCCCAGACCTGAGTGTGAGCAAGGTGGCTAGAGTATGATACAGCTGTGCCAGCTGTATCAGCCGGAGAACTCCTGAATCAGTGAGGACCACAGAGGTGTCACCCCACCCTCAGGTTGAGGACCCCTGCTCACATCGATGAAAAGCTTCTCCTGGGTCCCAAGGGCAATGGCCTCTGTGTCGTCCGTTTTGGCCGCATCAACAGCTGCTGCTGGGGACGTGGACTCTGAAGAACAGCAGTGAGGAGTTACTTACCCTGGCACTGGTTTCAGATACAAAGGCTGGGCTGACAAGCTGGCGGTTAAGGTGGAAGGACAGCCCTTCCTGGATGTGGCTGGGTGGCTGCCAGGGTGGAAACCACTCAGCAGGGTTGCACCCCTACTCCCAGCTGAGGAAAACCAGGAAGAAGCTGGCCCTTCAGCGACATGAGGTGAGTCTAGAGACTGCAGAAGCAGCCGAGTCTACCCAGCAAGAAAGGAATGTGCTCAGGACAAGTGCCGGTTCCAAAACCCAAAGAGGCCAGTCCTGCAGCCCAGCCCTGGCGGAGGCCTCTCTGCCAGCATGCACTGCCTGTCAAGTACAGGGCTGCCTGTTCTCCAGGGTTAGGGGCCTGTACCACTTAACACAGCCAGGCTGCCTGGCTGGGTGGAAGCACTATGGGTCCTCTGCCAGGCCCCCCTTGCCAGGTTTCTAAGTCCTGTCCCTGTGTGGTCTCTTCACTCACACTGTCACCTCCAACTGGGCACAGGAAAGGAGTGGCTGAGCCAGAAAGTCCATCATGACCTGCAGACCCATTTGTGATATTTGTAATGGAGGTGGTGACACAGACCCACATGCTGAACCTAGGAGCTCCGTACCATCAAATACCAGCCAAAGTACATCCATGTTTGGAAAGCTTTGGGACAAGCCAAGACCCTTGCTAAACAGAAACATTTTCCCAGAAGCTCACAACAGGACAGGCCAAAGGTTTGACAATTTACCTTCCATCTACCCTGAGCTAGAGACAGCAGCCTTTCCTTGTTGCATAAGCAATCATCAAAGCAAGGCATGGCCCCAGTCCCTAGACAAGACATTCTGGCACAGAGCCTCAACAAACTCAAAAGAGCCATAGCATACCTGACGAGCATGGCAGGGCATCAAAAGCAGGTTTCTCTTGGTGGTTGTGGCTCTCCAATCCCTGCTATCTGCCCTGTATTTTCTACCTTGCTTGATGTACAGCATGGGGTACCTGAGTTCCCTGCCTCACTCTCCTCTGTAGGCTGCCCGTGGGTGCCTCCCCCTGCCCTCTGCTCTCTGTGTCCTGTATTTCTTGTCTCTTAGCCCCCGGCCCTAAGGTTCTGGGAGCAGGCCAGGGGTAATCCCCTATTCCTGCCAAACCCATACATCCTATAAAGGACTTGGATATGAAGGGCTTTTAAAGATGTTATATAACAAAGACAGGTGGCTTTTCTTAGTTCAAACCTTTGGTGGTTGGTAGCATAAACTCCTAAAATAAGGTCCAGCCAGGTGCATTGCTGAGGCTCTGCCCTACCCAGGCCCCTTCACTTGCATGGTAATTTCTTCAGCCCTGGCACCTAATCCTTTAGTAAGAACACTTAGTGAGATCCCCTTAGTGAGAACACAGCACTTCCAGGATTCTCCATGCAGCAGGGCCTACTTTCTGGGCCAGACCTCACACCCAGTCAGGCTTGGGCTCTGAGTGCTGTCCACGGCCCTGGGGCTAAAAATGTTCCAAGCCATCCCATGGCCTCCTGGGGAAGTGTGTTTACCTATCAGTAGACATAGCCTAGAGTCATGTGAGAGAAAAGCTTTCGCTGAAGAGCTGCCTACATCAGACTGGCCTGTGGGCATGTCTGTGAAGGGCTGCCTTGGCTTCTAATTGGTGGTATAGAAGGATCCAGGCCACTATGCAAAGCACCATTCCCTGGGCAGGTGGTTCCAAGCTGTTTGGGAAAGCTAGTTGAGCATGGTCCAGAGAGCGGCTGGTAAGCAGTGCTTCTCTGGTTCCTGCTGGAGTTCCTGCCCTGACATCCTCAGTGATGACCTGGAAGTTAAGCCAAGTAAACCTTTTTCCTCCCTATGTGTTTTTGATAAGAACGTTTTATCATAGCAACAGAAAACAAGCTAGGACAGGGTCTCTCTCTGGGGCCTGGGGCTCATGAATAAAGCCAGGTTGGCTGGCGAGTGAGTTCCACAGATCCACCTGTCTCTATCTCCCCAGAAAAAGCTCCGTCTCTCCAGCTCTACATTTTAAATGAAAGCGGCCTCCCTGGGAGTGTGAGCCAGTCTTGTGTGCTTGCTTGGTAGCACTGTCCCCTTTGTGCAGTGAGTATCAAATATACACTTGGCTGGGAAAGCCTCACCCAAAAGCCAATGCCAAACATCATTGCTTCTCCTGTTGATTCCAGATGAGCCACTGACTTAAGTAAAATATTCTGCTAATAGCTTTCCCTGTTGCTTATATAACTTTATCTGGTTTAATGTGACATGTGCATTTTCAAGGGTGCACTCTTAGGAAATGAGATTTCCCATGGACTGCGTCTTCTAGAAAGAACCAAGGCAGTGGATTCAGAGTCTGAGTCAAAGCTGTGTGCGGGGACAGAGGTCATAGCTAGGCAGCGTCAGGGACTGCCCTCTGTAGTCTCAGCTGCCTTACCTTCAGGGCTGACCCCCACAGGTGACCGAGTGTGAGCCAGGCTCGCAGGCAAGTCTGGCTTTTCCATTGTCCCATTCACCACCACAGGCAGCTCCTCTTCTGTGCCTAGCTTCTCTGGGAACAGTTCATCTTTGGCTTCGAAGCTCTCCTTCACAAACAACTCCATTTTCTGCTGGGTTTCCCCCATGGGTGGCCCTTCCTGAACCTCTGGGCTGGCAGTGGTACTCTCCTCACTGTCTGGCAGGGGTGTCTTCCCTAGAGAAGTAAAGTCCAGAGTTGAGCTTGGAATTCTGCCTGAGGCTGGGCTGGGATTACAGGTTTGTGCTGTTAGGTTGACTGGACGGTAGTCTTGAGATGAAAGTCATTTTGAGTGCGACCCCGGGGTCACACGGGCTGACAGCTGCTGGCAAGCCCTTGGCTCAGGAAGGACCCAGGAATTTGTGAAAGGCCCTGCCCATGCCCAACATACCTGTGCCACCACACTACACTACACCACAGTGCAACACACATATCCAGTGATCATAAAACTACAAATTCATCAGCTGGACTTTGGCTTGAGGTTAAGGCAGAATTCTCAACAATTTTCGAAGTAGTCCTAAGCGTGTGTCTGTCCTTTGATGCGATGACCTCCTACCAACCAGAACCCTCAACGAGACTATAGCACAGATCAACTGTAATGCCTGAAGATGCTCTATGCCTTAACACATCTGGCCGTCAGTCAAGGGGTCATTCTTTTTTTTTATGGGTATGGGTGTTTTGCTGGCTTGCGTGTCTATGCACTACATGAGTACCTGGAGCCCAAGGGAGCCAGGAGAGGATGTCAGATCTTGTGAGCCACCATGCGGGTGCTAGGAATCAAACCTGGGTCCTCAGAAGAGCAACCAGTGTTCTTAACTGCTGAGCCATCTCTGCAGCCCTCAAGGTTTAATTCTTTATGTAAAAATAAGCAAGCACATCTATTCCATTAGCATGCAAATCAGCTTTCCTCATTAAAGGAGAAAACTGTATGTCCACCAAGGAATCGTTCTGACATCTCTGTGACCTATCTGCAGTAAGTGTCTAGCCTTTTATCTTTCTTCTAATCCTGTATCCCAGGGTGGTGTGAAAAGGGCCACAGTCTGCAGCTTGTGCCACTGCGGCCTGGGGCGCACCTCTTTCTCTTGCCCTCTTCCGTTCCTCAGCCCGCCGCTTGATCATGGCCAAGGCTTCCAGGCTGTCTGTTATCTTCTTGTGTTCCCTGCTCTCCCACTGCTGCCGTTCTTCCTTCTCAGCTGCATAGCCCCCTCGGGCCCACGCCTCTGCACACGCCCTAGGTAAGGACAAGAAGGGCAGAACTGGGAGCTGGGCATGAGCACATGATGTCAGCACCCGAGCAGGAGGACTGCCGTGAGTTTGAGTGTGAGACCAGCCTAGCCTAAATAATGAGTTCCAGGGAGTATAAGACCCTGGAAGGCAGGGAAGGGGAAAGAGATACAGGAGGAGGCTATAGGCCTGAATTAAGTCTTCTATTTAAAGATTTATTTATATTTCATGTTATGTATATGTATGTATACCATAATAAGCATGCAGGTGACATCAGAATTAGAATAGGGCATCGGATCACCTGGAGCTGGAGTTATAGGTGGTTATAAGTTGTGTTGGGAACCCAACTAGAGTCTATTGAAAGAACGGCAATGTTCTCAATCTCTGAGCCATCTCTCTATCAGGCTCTCCTCAAGTTGTGAAGGTTGAAATTACAAACATACGCTATCTGGCCAAACTTGTTCGCTCCTGGGCCTTGTGTCTATGTACATGTGTATGCAAGTACACATGGGTGAATATGCACGTGGAGGCCAGGGTATGACCTTGTGTGTCTCTCCTCTTTAGGTACCATCAATCTTGTTTTTGAGGCAGGGTATCTCCTGAGACCTGAGAAGTAGGCTAGGCAGATTGGCCAGTGCATTCCAGTCACCCTATCTGCACCTCCACAGAGCTGGGATTGCAGGTGCATGCCAGAGTGTTCAGCTTTTTGTGCGGGTTCTGGAGTCAGAGTTAAATTCCCTGCTTATGAGGGAGGCGCTTCGCTGAGCATCTCCTCCCTCCTGAACGCACTCATTTCTTCAAAATCAAGAAGCTGGAGAGATGACCAAGCGGTTAAGAATGCTTACTGTTTTCTTAGAGGACGCGAATTCAGTTCCCAGGCCCACACTGGGTGGCTCACCATTGCCTGTAACTCCAGCTTCAAGGGATTTCATGCCCTCTTCTGGTCTCATGCTTGTACCTGTGCACACTCACTCACTCTCACATACACACACACATAAAAGTAAAAACAAAACTTTAAAGTTTGGAGTAGGGCTGGAGAGATGGCTCAGAGGTTTGGAGCACTGGCTGCTCTTCCAGAGGTCCTGAGTTCAATACTCAGCCACCACATGGTGGCTCACAACCATTTATAGTGAGATCTGGTGCCGTCTTCTGGCATGGCAGGCACACATGCAGGCAGAACACTATATACATAATAAATAAATCTTTAAAAAAATAAAGTTTGTAGTTCACTTACTAATCTTATATCAATTTTGGTTCATCAGTTGTAACAAGTGTCCCCAAGGATGCAAGATGCTTATACTTGGAAACTGGGAAGAGGGATGAGAACTCTGTACTCTGGCTTAGTTTTTCCTTTAGCCAAAATTGCTCCTTCAGAAAGGTACACTATTCTTTTTAAGTGAGTAGACACAGAAAGCCAACATTTCCCAAAGAACAGGTGACAACAGCCAGTGCATAAGGAAAAACCAAAAATCCACCTCCCACGAGCCACCAGGGAGGAGCTGATCACAGGCATGGCAAGCCCCCAATTTACTTCCCACAACAGGAGTGAAAATGATAGATTTTGGCAAGGATGCAGAAAACTTAGATCCTCTCACAATGCTGGGAAGAAAGGAAGATGGCGAGGCCATTTTGGAAAATCATTTGGTGTCTCTTCGATGGAGCTGATATTGTCATCTGGCCTCTACTCCTCTATTATCTACCTAAGAAAATCAAACTTGTGCCTTCAGGAGAATGCTCACAAGATTTTAAGAAATGAAGACTTCACAGAGGACAAAAGCCAGGGAGATGTCTCAACAGGGAAAGGAGTTTGCTGCTGAGCCTGATGGCCTGAGTTTAGTGTTCAGTGCCCAGGACCAACACAATGTAAGCTGAGCTCCTGTGCAAGAAGGTGTCCCATGGTACACACACACACACACACACACACACACACACACACACACAAAGTAAGTAAACACTAAAAAAGTAAATATTCTGTGAACAAGCGCTCCTGCTCCTGTGGTCGACACTGGTGGTGCCATTAATGGGGTCCAGGGGGTATTTAGTGATTTGTGAAAATGCTCAAAAATCAGAAAACTTGAAAGTCTACCAAGTGTGCTGGACTAGAAGCACTCAAATGCACATGTCCCAGGGTCTCCCTTCTTACCTGTCTTTGGGGAAAATTGGCCTGTCATCCAGATAAGTCAAGTGCAGCAGACGGACAGTCACAGTCCTGCGGTAGTTAGGGATGTGTTTGATCACTGCATTCCCCATCAGGTTCAGTACACGCTGCAAAACAACATGCCAGGCCAAACTGATTACCAAAGCCAGAGGGCCAGGGCCTGTGAGAGGGCACAGTGGGCAAAGGCACTGGCTGCCAAGCCTGATGACCTGAATTCAGTCTCCAGAACTGACATGGCAGGAGAGAACCAACTCCTGAGAGTTGTCCTCTCACCCCTACATGCATTTCCTGGCCAACATGTCTATGCCTCTATGCGTGTGTGCGCGCGCACACACACACACAGTGCACATGCTACATGCAATGTAATAATAACAAAACACACAAGATGGTTAGCGTCATCACGTTTCGTGCCCTCAGAATAACACAATTCATTTTCTTGAGCAAAGCAAAGTGCCAGTGCCATGTCCTAGCACAGTGACACAATGGAAAGGTCTCCCGGGCTCTGACACTCTTGAGCCTGTCTGGAGAGCATTCCCCAAGGCCCTCAACAAGCTCAGTGGTTCTCTTAGCTTCATCTCTCAACATCTCTTACTGAAACACTTGGGTCTAATTGTTTCTGGTTCTTCCTACCTGGGACCCATTTCAAGAAAATATTTGCAGGAGCAACAGATAAGAATCAATGACTGAGGGATGCCAGGCTTAGCTACATGAGCCCTTGTCTTAAAACAACAAAAACAATAACAAAACACACAAAGAGGCATGACTGGGATGGATGTACAGGCCACCAGGAGAGGCCTTTCCCACTGGGTACCAGATCCCCTGGGGGTCAGAATACAGCTGACCTAGCAATGCAAGCACCCTTTTCCCATGGCCAGATATGCACCTTCTGGTCTCTCCCTGAGGAAGCAGAGAGGGTTACTGAGAATCAATCATTTTGTAATCTGTTTGCCTCATCACATCAGATGCTTTTCACATCTAAAATGATTTATGTTGTTGGGAAACATGTCCATATTATATATTAGTGGGTTAGCTTTGAACTTGCCATGTGTCTCAGGCAGTGTTGGGTTGCTGTGAAGAGACACCATGACCATGGCAGCTCTTAGAAAGGAAAGCATTTAATTGGGGCTTGCCTACAGTTTCAGAGGTTTAGACCACTGTCATCATTGCGGGAAGCACGGTGGTGTGCAGGCAGACATGGTGCTGGCAAAATGGCTTGAGAATTTCACATCTGTATCCACAGGCAGCAGTAACAGAGAGACACTGGGTGGGACATGAGTATTTGGAATCCCAAGGCACACCAACAAGACCACACCTACTCCAAGAAGTCATACCTCCTAATCCCTGTCAAGTAGCACCACTCCCTAATGACCAATCGTTCAGAAATATGAGCCTGTGGGGGCCATTTCTCTTTGAACCATGCTCTGGTCTCATGGCTCCTTTGCTGGCCTTGCTGTATTTTCAAGGTTCACAGCAGAAAGCAGAAAAGTATTCCAGCATTTAAAGGCATCACACACTCACACACACACACACACACACACACACACACACACAGGTCAGGTGGCCACTTTTAACTGGTATGGGGGTCCATAGCTGTTCCAAGCACTTGAGACACAAAGGTAGGAGAAGTCAAGGCCACCCTCCCTAACACAACAAGCAAGTTCAAGGACAGTTGAACCTCAAAATAAACAAGATGGCGGCCTCCACTGCTAAGCTGAGTGATCAGTACCAAGCTAGGGCTACATGAGATTCACATGCACTTATGCTAGCATTTGCCAGGCAGCCAGGGTGTGAGTATCTCATCCAGGAACCTTACTTGGAGGTGAAGAAGGTGCACCCTGGCCTGCCCATTCTTATCCGAGAATGTTCAGAGGGGCAGCCCGAGCTCTGGGCCCACTCTAGTTATGGCCAAGAGAAGAATGTGTTTTTGAACAGTCTGAGTGCTGATGAGGTAACCAGAGCCCTGAAGGATGTGCTGAGTGGCAAAGCCTGAAGTGTCTCCCCTGAGGGCTGTGAGGAAGAGAAGCAGACCCTGGGTTCTGCTGGACTGAAAACTGTGGGAAATGTGTTCTCCATTCCTTGTACAGCTTGTGCTGTTCAGTGTTGCTTCCGAAACAACAACAACAAAAGGTGGCCACTTTCAACAGACTAGAGTGTCCTGTGTTGTCCTATGTGCCCTCTCCTGGCCCCCAGTTTCTCACCTCAGTACCTCAGAATGTGACTATATTTGCACAGGATCATGGACAAGGTAACTAAGTTAGAGTGAGGTCATTAGGCCCCAAATGGCCTGACTGGCATCTTCATAAGAGGAGCTGGTGTGTGAAGAATGCCACCTACACACACACACACACACACACACACACACACACACGATGGCAAGGAACACAGGTAACTCAGATCAGCTCATACCGGGAGCTGCCCAGTGACAAAAACAGAGCAAAACCTCAGGGCCCTGTCAGAGATGGTGAGGGCCTTGATCCATTCTGACAACTGACAGGTGGAAGGAAGGAGCCAGCACTTGGGTCTGGCTCTTCCAAGGTTTTTTAAACACACAAAGAAGAAATACAAGGGCTAGAGATGACCACATGGCTCTGCCAAGACAGCTGCAAAACACGATGGGAACACCATGAGGCTCCTCAGGTACAATGCATGAGCTCACTAACCCATCTTGCAGAGAGAGACGCTGCAGGCCTGCGTGATGCACCCTGGGGGATGATGTTGAACTGGGGTCTAAGCAACTTGCTGACTGCCCTCTGGAAACACCAGAGTCAACAGAGCTTACCAAGTAGCAAAGTTCTCCAGGTCCAGGTCCAGGAGGTCGCCCTGGACACAGTTTCCTTGTCAAATGAATGCAGCAGCGAAACAGCAGAGACAGGACACTCAGATCAAAAGGGATTGACTGAGGAATGCTGTCTCTGAACAATGTGGGTGTTGTTCAGACTGTGGATAGAACACTTCTGAAACTAATTCAGGAAACTTAGTCGAGGAACAGCTTAGTCGGGGTCTCTAAAAAAGCATGCCCAGCAGGACATATGTATGTATATATGTGTGTGTTTGTTTAATATATATTTATATTCATTTAACATCATACACACAAACACACTAAAAGAGTAGTAGAATGGCTCACAGGAACTATTGTGTAAGGCCACAGCAATGTTTAAAATAAAAGGTACATCTGCCACTTGGGAAACTCAGCTAAAACCACTGTTCTGAAACTATTCCTTTCAGCTTGAAACTTCCCCTCTTGGGAGATGTGTGTGTGTGGGGGGGTGTCAAAAGAAATAAGGAAACACACAAGGCACAGGAAGTAAAAAAACGAAAACTCCCAAGTCTCAGAAAGCTGAAACTTAAACTGCATAAGGTCTCTGCTGTCCACTGAGGTTATGTGGAAGATACTCAGCCACAGCTGACAGGTGCCTGCAAGCCATCCAGGAGCTCCAGGGAAGCCACTCTCAGGAGTGTCCCCATGCTGAGGGGGTTTCCCAGTGATGCAGGCTTTGAGTCACCCAGGCTCCTGCAAGTAGCCCAGTAAATGCATGGGTTTCCTAACATTTAGGTGGAATCCTTTCTTTGCTCTCTTGACAGTGCCCTATTAGGGGCATCTAGGTACTTGTCCAAGTCTCCCCAGGAAAAGTCACACAACCACAAAAAGAAAAAAGAAGGGAGGAGGGATGGGAAGGAGAGAGGGCGATGTTTACCCTGAAGCACTCTGTCTGTGACATGCCGTACCTACCAGACAGGGCATGCTCTCGAGCACGGTCAGGATCTCGGGGTCACTCAGCATGTTGTGGGAGAGGTCGAGGACACAGAGTTGCGGGCACTCCCTGAGGTGCTGGATATCTGCCACCGTCTCCAGGCGGTTGTGGGCCATTTGCAGTGTGTTCAGGACAGGGAGGCAGGCTGGAGGGAGGCGGCAAAGTGAGCAACAGTGGCGCCTGCTCCCGGCCCACACTCTAGAATCTCTGCTGGGATGTGGCACGGAGCAGGGCTGCCAGGCTTACAGAGGTTCTCGATGGTCTTGATGTAGTTGTTGCTCAGGTTGAGCGCGTCCAGCTTCTGGAGCGGCTCCAGGTTCTCGATTTTGTGCAACAGGTTCACTTGCAGGAAGAGGCAGCGCAGCTCGGTCTGGGCCTGCAGGTTCTCGATCCTCTGGATGCCATTGCTCTCCAGCCAGAGGCAGCGGAGGCCAGTGTACTCCTCCAGGTTCTCAATGCGGTCAAAGCCTGGAGGGGAGGGGCAGCTCAGGCTCCTGGATGCTCAGAGGGGAGGAGCCTGGACACTGTCAGGTTTCGTCTGTTGGCAGAGGCTGTGTGTTCCGGTGTCTGCAAATTCTGATGTCGAAGGCCATTAGCTCCAGGGTGTTAAAAGGAGGAGCCTTTGGGAGATGAGGAGTTTTTGAGGGTGGGGCCACGTGATGAGATTACTGCCCTTTTAGAGAAAGACTGCCTGGCATAGTGGCAAGGGACAATGATCCCAGCTCCCTGCAGGCCACAGCAGAAGGATGACAAGTTTGAGGTCACCTTGGGCTACGAACTGAGGTGCCAGACAGAAGTCTCCATCTGTGAACCTGGAAGCAGTCCTCACAGACACTGCATCTGCTGGCACCTTGAGGGTGGGTCTCTCCATGTCAGTGTTTCTCAATCTTTCTAATGCTATACTTCTTTTTTTCCCCCTTTTTATACAGGGTTTCTCTGTGTAGCCTCGGCTGTCCTGGGCTCACTTTGTAGGCCTTTGCTGACCTTGAACTCATAGAGATCTGCCTGCATCTCCCTCCCTGAGTGCTAAGATTACAGGCATGTGCCACCACCACTGGCTAAGGCTGAGATTCTTTAGCACAGTCCCTCATGCTGTGGTGACCTTAACCATAAAATTAATTTTGTTGCTACTTCATAACTGTAATTTTGCTACTGTTAGGAATCATAATATAAATACCTGTGTTTTCCAATGGTTTTAGACGACCCCTGTGAAAGGGTCACTTGACCCTCCCCCACAAAAGGGTTGCGACCTACAGTTCTATGTGGTCCTGGCTATTCTGGAACTTGCTGTGTAGAACAACCTGGCCTACAAGGAGATCTGACTGCCTCTGCCTCTCAAGTGCTGGGACTAAAGGCATGCACCAGCATGCTCAGCTAGTAACAGATTTTCTTTCCAAAGCCACCTCCTCTCCTGCCCCCTCCCCTTTTTTACTTTTAGAATGGGAGAGTGAACACAAGGCTTCATTCACACCTGTGGGTGAACCCTGTCCCACTGAGCCACACTGAAGCCCTCTCAGGTCACTGAACTAGTCTCAGTGCTTCTATATGCCTCTTTCCTGTACTCCAGCATGGGTCTCTTTCTGCTCTACCCTCCAGCTCTTGTCCCACGCCTTGCCCCCTCACTAGGAAAAGCACCCCGTTTGCTCCCTCTGTTCCTTCAGCAGCAATCTCTAAACCAGTGTCTCCCTTTTGTTCCCATCATTACCACTAGAAGATGAGGTCCCCAGTGACATCCTTATTGCTAAGTCACATTGTTGACCTTTTCCCTCCTTGACCTCTCTCAGCCTCAGACTCATTTTTCCATTCCAACCTGGCACCCCTGCCCCCAGCTTACCACAGGCCCTTGTATTGTGCTGCTGTCTCTTGTTAGCCCTCCTTTCCTTTTTTATTTTGAAAGAAAAACCAACAACGAGAAGAGGGTGGCCCTGAGAGGACGATAAGGCAGAGCATGGCATGTGCCACTGCTGGAGCTGGGACTCCTATTCCCACCTCGTTCTTCCTCTTGGCAGCTTGCTCTGTATGGACCCCGCAGCCAAAGACAGGCTCACATGGTGGGTAAATAAGGCTGTGGCCCACAGCCATTCTCCAGTCCCAGCCCAGCATTCAGGTAATTGAGGGCACTTGGCAATTCCACCAAACCTCACGAAGATCCCTCAGTCAGAGCTACCCAGCTAATAATCACACACAGATCCTGTGTGAGATATTAAGTTTGAAGTTGCTAAGTTTCAGGGTCACTTATTATGTGGTGACATATGACTAAGGGAGGCACCTCTCTCCCAGCTCCCTTCTCTCTCTGAACTCAGCCTGACACATTGGCTCCTCTGACTCCCTTCTCCCTAGTCTCTGTCCCCAGGACCTGTTTTGTTTTTCTGGTTTTACATTTAGGACCTGTTGTTTTAACCCCTGCTCTGCTCTGATGCCAGCTGGAGAATTCCAGAGGGGCAGAAGGGAGGAGACAGGTGGGGAGTTCTTCCAAACCCTAAGGCCTGGGTGCTGCTGAGCCTGGTGTGCCTCCCTGTGCAATGCCCTCCGCCCCACAGCTGCCCACTCATGCCTGCCCGACCTTACAAAATCCTAAACCATCCTTGCCACATCCACCTCTGGATTCCCAGCACTGAGAAAGTCCCATGCACAGAAGACTCTCAGGAAAGACTTCCTGAATAAATGCACAAACAGATTAAGAGCAGGTCAGCCACTTCACTCTGGGCTCCAGCTAAGAGCTGGAGGATCCTGGTCATCACTGGCCAATGTGGTTCCAGCCGTGAACCTGAGCTCAGAGGCAGATGTGGGTCTGGACACCAAGCCCAAGTCGCCAGGATGCCATTCTTAGCACCTCTGCATTCAGAGAGGTCTAAAGACCCTCGTTCTTTGTCATCTATCCTATCTTCTATCCTTCATAACACCTGTCCCAAGCCCAAGGTTCACAACTGCCACTACTGCTCTAAAGAAAGCCTCGTCCTGAGCCAGCTGTGCTGACTGGAGCCTGAACTACCAGCACTCAGCAGACTGAGACAGAAAGGCCATAAGTTCAAGGTTAGCATGGTCTATGTAACAAGATCCTACAGAGAGAGAGAAAGAGACAGAGAGAGAGAGAGAGAGAGAGAGAGAGAGAGAGTTGGAGTTGGGGAATATTGAAAGATACTGAGATTAAATTAATTATGTGCCTAATGGCACAGGTCTATAATCTCTGCTACTTGGTGAGTGAAGTAGAAAAATGGAAAGTTCAAGATCCCTCTAGGCTACAAAGTGAGTTCAAGGCCAGCCTGGGAAATTTGGTGAGCCTTGTTTCAAAATAGAAAGGGAAAGGGGACCTAATTAGAGTTGTGTCTCTGTGGCAGTATGCTTGCCTAGCATGTGTGAAGTTCTGGGTTCCATCACCTAGACTGCAAGGAAAAAAAAATAAAGCAATCAAAGAAGCGCGAGTGGATCCTCTGTACTCACACAGCCCTTTATGAACTCAGTCAAGACCGAGTTCCACTTGGGTAGCATCTGAACACAAAGATGTGCTCTGCAGGCTGTGTTCTCCCTGTCCTTCAGACACACCTGGGACTCACCCTTAAAGTGTAAATATAGCGTGTCGTTCAGGGCAGGGGTGATGTACAGCTTGTGTTGCTTGCAGAGTTTTTGAAGGAATTGTTTAGTCATCCTGTTCAAATGCAAAACACAAACAAGAGGCTTGTTTCAGCTTGTCACCTGTGAAATAAAGTCAAAGGTTTGCATTTGGTTTGGCTTAGTTTGGTTTGGAGACAAGGTCTCATTCAGTCACCCAGGTCGGCTGAGAACTCACTATGCAATCTAGGCTGACCTCAAACTTGTGGTCCTCCTGCCTCTGCCCCCACCCCCTGCATTGCTGTTGTGAGCCATGGTACCATTTTAGGTTCTTTCCTACATCTATTCTATTTAAAGTTCTAAATCTGAAGCCTCACATTACATCTTCCTCCTCCTCCCTTCTCCTTTGGTCTGTTCTTGTGTGTGCAAGGTCACACGGAGGCCAGTTTCTCCCTCTATCACATCTGCTATATTTTCTGAAACAAGGTCTCTCACTGAACCTGGAGACTGCCGGTTTGGGTAGACTGGCTGGCAAGTGAGCCCCAGGACTCCTCCTCTCTTGGCCTCCCCTGCAGATGTAGAGAGGTGTGTGGGTGTTTGCATGGGTACTGGGAATCCTGAGGGAAGCCCTCATCTGAGCCATCCCAGCAGCCTCTCCTACTTCTTTATTGTTTACAGCCTTTGGGACTTTACCCAAAACTGTTGCTTTTGGCATTCTAAAAAACTGTAATGTTTGGCCAGATAAAAGTACTTCTAGGGCTGGAGAGATGGCTCAAAGGTTAAAAGCACTGGCTGTTGTTATTCCAAAGATCCTGAGTTCAACCCCCTGCAAGCACATGGTAGCTCATAACCATCTATGATGAGATCTGGTACCCTCTTCTGACAGAATACATGCAGGCAGAATACTGTATACATAATAAATAAATCTTTTTTAAGAAGCACTTCTAGCAGTGTCATCAACACTACTGCTGTGAGCCAGGTATGGTGGTACACATGTGTAACCCCAACACTCAGGAGGCTGAGGCAGGAGGTTCATGAGGTTGAGGTCCTGCCTGGGCTATGGAAGCGGGAGCAGAGGGATGACAAATTAGCTCATTGGGTAAAACTAAAGCCTGACCACCTGGGCTTATCCCTGGACTCCTCCTCGGAAAGAGAGAATGAATTTCTGAAAACTGTCTGTTGGCCTCCACGTGTGCCATCATATATGCCTATATGCACTCGTTTTCACATTCATCCCCAGTAATAATAATGGATCCTTTTTTCTTTTTTAAAAAAGAACTAGGGTCTAGAGACATGGTAAGGTGGCTCAGTGATTATGAGCATTTGCTGCTCTTGCAGAGGACATGAGACAAGTTCCCGGTACCCATTTCAGGCAGCGCGCAGCCACCTGTAATACTAGCCCTAGGTATCCCAACACCGTCTTTTGGCCTGTATAGCTACCTACACACATAGGCACACATATACAAAAACACAAATAACACCCCTCCTCTCTTTCTCCTAAAGAGCTGCTGCTCTCTCTCTCTTGATCTGCTAATAACTGGGCAGGCTCCTCAGGTGCTATCTGTGCAAGGGGATAAGGGGCTACGACCATGCACCTCCCTTGGTGGCATGACACATACCTGGGGCTCTGATCATCTCTGTCATTTCTTGTATGAGCTAAGTGACCATCTGATTTGCTGTCACCACTCTGTTGCTGCTGACTTTGGCAGGATGTTGTAGAAGGGCCCACACATGTTTCCTTGGTCTCAATAATTTCTGTGAAACAATTTGTAAAGATCAAAAAAAGTTAAGGGGGGCTGGAAAGACAGCTCAGTGGTTAAGAGCACTGTTCGTGCTTTCAGAGGTCCTGAGTTCAATTCCCAGCAACCACATGGTGGCTCACAGCCATTTACACTGGGATCTGATGCCCTTATCTGCAAGGTGTACATGCAGATAGTGCACTTATCTATGTAAAATAAATAAATATTAAAAAAAATAAGGACAGGAATGGGAAGGCCAAGTCTTATGATCCCAGCACCCAGGAAGCTGGGTAAGGAGACTCACCATTGGGTTTTGGGTTTGAGATCAACCTGGGCTACATAGTGAAACACCAAAACAAAAGAAAAACAGACCTGGCTGTCATGTTTTTGATTTGTGTAAATGGGATCCTGTGGGTTTTGTGGAACTTGTTTTCTATACCCACATCTGTTCTAGAGCATGAGCCCTACTGATGGGTGAAGCTGCCAGTGCATTGGCTTCAAGGCAGAATTCACTGTGCTCTGCAGGCAAGCTCTTAAAGACATTTGCACTGTCAACAGATTCCAGCTGTTGAGAACACAAAAAGAACATCCTCACTTACATTTCTATGTTCTCCTGTGCAGTTTTTATAGAGGATTGGCCTAAATGTGACATTTGCATAGTCTTTAATAATGCTGTAATAACTGCTATACTGTGGAATGAAGAGATGGCTCAGTCATTAAGAGCACTTGCTACTCTTCCAGGGAACCACAGTTCAGTTCTCAGCACCCATATGGCAGCTCACAACTGCCTGTAACTCAGCTTCCAGGGGATCTGACACCCTCTTCTGGCCTCCTTGGACACCCACATATGTCATACAAATCAGACCCTCAGAAAACAGAAAAACAAGTAGAACTGTACTTATAGTTTAGAAGTTTCTGTTAAAATCTGCTCACCAAGCCAGGTGATATGGCACACACCTGTAATCCCAGCACTCAGGGTGGCAGAGGCAGGTGGATCTCCATGGGTTCAAGACCAGCCTGGTATATAAAGTGAGTCCAGGACAGCCAAGACTACACAGAGAAACCCTGTCTTGAAAAACAAACAAACAAACAAACAAAATACCCCCTAAACGAAACCAAACCAAACCAAAAACCCACCACCACCACCAAAATCTGCTCACCAGAACAGGTGCTCATCAAGCCTGTATCTCTTTCCAGGGATAGCATGACACCACTAGATTGGGAGGTGGGAGGATGACCTTGGCTGACAGCCACCCGGAACATGACAGCCACTCTGGGATATGACAGGATCTCTGTCTCTCCCCACTTTGATTTAGAGAGAACTGTGATGCAGTGTGCTGTGTAAATCTTCCCATTTGCCAGACCTCCACCAGGAAGAACCTACAGTTTCCACTTTTGGAAACATGTTTAGTTGTTCAAAGTGTAACTTGTGGGTAGCAGCCTAAAAACAGCTCATACATAAAAGCATATACAAGAACACAGTGCGACAGCTCAAAATCGTGTGAAAGGAGGAAGCTTTGTTCTGGACTGCTTTCTCCTTGGGTGTTAGAACCTGATGCACACTATTATTAAAAAGACTTTCCTTATTTTTTATTCCCTGGGGAGTGTGGAGTAAAATCTCACTGGGTGGGTTATTATTCTGATGCTTCAGCAGATTTTATGTGTAATGTTTTATTTCCTTAACTAAAAATATGATAAAAATGCTAATCATTTTCCATTCATGGGTGTTCATTACACTGCCTTGTTCTTTGATCTTTTTTTCCTCAAAGCTGGGTGTAAGCCACCAGAAACAGCAGAGTATGATGGCTCGTTTCTGTAATCACAGCACTCAGAAGGATGAAATAGGAAGCTCTCCAGTTTGTGACTAGCCTGGGCTACATAATGAATTCCAAATTATGTCTCTAAAACAAAACAAAAACCTAACTCCTTAAAAAAAAAAAAAACACTTACAAAAAGAAATATCTTTGTTATAGGAAACAAGCACTTTAGACCCATTTTAAAATGTTAATAAAAACTGGTCTATTCAAATGCATGTAATTAAAAAAATTACCAGTATGTATGTGCACAGATGGGTGTGGAAGTCAAAGGACAACTTTTGGAGGTCAGTTCCTGCCTTCCTTCCACCTGGTTGAGGCAGGATCTCCCATTTCTCTGCTGCACCGTACACATCAGGACAGCTAGCCGTGAGTTTCTGAGCAATTCTCCTGTCTCTTTGTCCCATCTCACTTTAGGAATGCTGGGATAGTTTCAAGCCGTCGCATTTAGGTACTTCTGGGATTCAAACTCACGTTTTAGGCTTGTGTTACAAGCACTTTTACCCAGCAAGGCACCTCTAGAAGTCTCAGACGAATGTAACTTTAAGAGCTAATAAGCTCTCTGTATTTGCTGGGTGTTGTTGGATGACAATGAACACTGTTTGGGGACTGTGTCTTACACTCATTGTAAACAGTTCCCAGCCACAGAAGGTACCTGATAAATACTCATGGGTGTCCTATATTACTGGATTGGTTATATTAATAAAGGTCTAGCATTCATTACTAGTGATGGGCAGGCTTATGTGTGGGATGCTGACTGATCCATGTCTGTGTGGATGGGCATATTTGAGGGTGCTGGCTATTCCCGGGGGTGTTAATGAGCATGTGTGAGGCGAGTTGGCTAGCTGTTCTTAGAGCTGTATAGATGGGCAAGCGTGAGGGGTGCTGGTAGCTCCCAGCTGCGTGGATGAGCACACGTGAAACACACCGGCCCTCGCCCCATCGGTTCCCCGGCGCTATAGCACCTTCTTTGAGGACCCCTGGCCCCGCGTCGCCGTGATCGCCTGCCGATTCCTCCAGACTGGGCTCTGCCGCGCTGTCCTCCGGCGGCTCCGAAGCCTCGGGATGCATGCTCGCTTCTCTCTCCGCCACTCAACTCCAGTACTACGGTGCGCGTCGTTGGCTGGCCAACGCTTTCCCGGTCGCCGCGGCAACCAGTGCGCACGCGCAGTCGGTTACGCCGCCGAGGGCGGGCCTAGCGTGGGGTGGAGGGGGAGGTTCCACCCGGGCGCGTGCGCAGATCACGTGGGTAGCGGGCCTGCCGCTGAGACCGGGGCGGCGGCCGCGCGGGCAGGCGGCGGGACGGGTTTCGGAGACCGCGCCTCTCGCTGCAGGTATCGCGTCCACGCCCCTCGCGCCCCGCTTCCGGCCCTGGCCACGGCCCCGGGGACCCCAACCCTCGAGACGCCCTCCACTCCCCGCCGCGCCCCATAGCCACGAACTCTTGGTTCCGCGCTCCGGGCGGCCCCACAGCAGCCGGAGCAGGTGTACCCGGGCCTTGTCTTCGCCCAGCGGCTCGCACGCGCGACACGCCCCGGGACCGGCCTTTTTTCCGGTGCCTCTTTATCCTCCTTTCCCTACCTCTGGGTCTTGGTGGGTACTAGGACTCAGAACTGGTGCCGAATGGCCGCGCCGCTGAAGAAAGCGCGCTGATCCTGCAGAGCCGGGTGCGTTCTGCAGACTCGCTGGGCCGCGCTGGGCGCTGCTGGGGAGGGATGGGGCATAAGCAGGCGGGTCCCTCTTCCACCACCAGGACTCAGCCGCACCCACGAGCGGTGACCGCAGCGTGTACGTACAGGTTCCCATGGGGAGTCTCATGGACCACCAGCCAGGGCTCCGGGCCGTGCCTTAGTCTTAGGTCTTAACTGTGAGATCCTGGGGTATCACTTTGTGTCCTTTTCTCATGTGTAATTACTGTCTTGGAGGACTGAGGGAGGGGATAAAGTGAGGCCGAAGGGATAGCGCTCTTAACAGCTTTTTAATAGTCGGGTCAGTACAGCAGCCATAGCTGACATCGAACCCTGAGAGATAATCCTAGCTAGTGGCTCAGGTTTTATTGAGTGGTTGCGGAAAGGCGCTGCTGTGAGTGCTTTTTATGCATCACCTCATCTAATTGTCATTGTGGCCAGGAAGTGTTAGCCCCTTTTACGGATGGTGGAGAAAGGATAGTGTGTGTCGTGTTGTAACTTCATCCAAAGGTAGGATCTCTTTTCAGAGTGACCCTAGTCATTGTGGAAATATTTCAGAAGCGCCGAGTTCAACACTACTTTATTACTTTATTAGTGGATGGTGTGTGTATGTGTGTGTGTGTGTTGGGAGGGGGTGTTTCTCATTTATGTGTAAGTGTGGAAGCCACAGGCCAATGTCCATCACCCTCCACCATATTTTTTTTGAGAAAATGTCTCTCTCTGAACCCAGAGTTTTCTTAAGGCTAGACTGGCCAGTCCCCATGATCCTCTTGTCTGTTCCTTTCCTCCCATCACTGAGGTGATAAATTGGTTCTGCAGTCACCCTGTCTTACATAGCGGGGATCTCAACTCAGGCCCTCAAGCTTGCTCAGCAAACACCTAATCCGCTGAGCCATCTTCCCATTCCCCAGCTCATTTTTTTTTTTAATTGAGGCAAAATTCACATAACAAGATCCATCATTTTAGCTATCTTGAAATGTACAACTTAGAACTTTGTGGTGTATTTATAGCGTTGGGCAGTTGCCACCGCCCTTAATTCTGGATAATTTCTACCACACCAAAAAGAAACTCCACCTCATCAAACCTGCAGCTTGGCGACATGCTGCCCCCAGTGTGTTTTCTGTGTCTCTGCATTTCCCTGTTGCATATGTTTTATACGTGTGACTGTACGTTAAACAGTCTTTTTAGCATGGCTTCTGTCCTCATTTGTGTTTTCATGTCACAGCAAGTGCTCATGCCCATTCCTTTTTAGAGCTCAGTAATATTCCACTGTGTTATGGATGGGCCACGTTGTGTTCATTGCTTGATAAACATTTGGCAATTTCATCTTTTGGCTAACTTCAGTAAAGCTGATAGGAACCATGTTACAAAATTTTAATGTAAGCAGAAATTGTCACATATTTTGTGTGAGTGTCTAGGAATGGCCTACTGTTGCCTTAATTCCTAGAGACCTGGATCTCAGGGATATTAGTTCTTGGGTAAGAGTCCTGGTTCCCATGTTGCTGTTCTTTTCTCTCATCTTCACTGCTGGTTCAATCCGTGATCAAAAATAGGCAGAAGAAGGTAAAGAACCCATAAAATGTCATGATGTATAAGGGAAAACCTTGCCAGAATGCTGATAGAAAGTTTTGAGTTTTTTCTCTTCAAGAGTGAAACTTGAGCTCTGGCACAAACAGTATCTGACAGGACTTACTAAGGCAATATTGTATTTACTAGGGCAATATTGTACACACAGCATTCAGTACTGTGGAGCTGTACAAAAAAAAAATGCATGAAGGCCAGTTTCCACCATTACAAACTCCAGGATTCATCAGAAGAGCTTCTAGAAAATGCTGTGAGGAAATTCCCTGCCAGGGGTTGGAGCGTGAAGTCAAATGTGAAGGAAGGGATTCGGAAACAAAGACACCCAGCTCATCAACAGTGTTACCAGAGAGAGCAGAGAGAGCCTGTGTCTCTCTCTTGTCATTCAGAGAGAGAGAGAATACAGTACAGTAGGAAAGAGGGACAAGGGATGGGAACAGGCATTTCAGAGCTTCAGCAACCACAGCACACACCGTTCAAAAGAGTCTTGACCCCGTTGCTAACCACGCCAACACACCCCGTTGTTTGAGGGTGAACTCTTGGGCATTCCTGTGGGTGTATGACCCCATCTGTGAGGCAGGTGGGTCAGGCCTGCCACTGTGGAAGGGATCTGCAAGGGAGAGTGGGACCCTCAAGTACCTTGTGGCTCAGCAGTTCTACTGTGTGGCACATCCCTTCATGAATGCCAGCACCAGTGCCCAAGACACATGGTTGGAATTTGAGTGGTGGCCCTGTCCTGGAGGGCACAAAACAACCCAGGGCTGGTGGTTGCACCAACGTGTGTGGGAGTGTCACAGCCTACAGCAGAGCTAAGACCTCAGCCAATAGAGAAGCCTCCAGAACAGGAGGGTGCAGGTCAGCTCAGGACACTGGAGGAGTCCCTCAGACAAGCAGCACTCAGCAGCGTTGTGAAGTGTCTCAGAACAGAAAGAGCCAGGGGAGCAGGTTTGGGGTACGGGCTGTGATGCCAGCATTCAAGATGCTGAGGTAAGATGATGAGTTCAAGGCCAGCCTATATCTCCAAAAAAACCAAAACCACACACCCCAAAAAACAGAAGGACTTCTTGGGAGGGTGTGCCCTTCAGTGAAGAAGAGGAGACAAGGAGGAAGCCTGGGGTTCCTGGAGCTCACTAGGTGTTGCTTTTGTGTGGCTGGTCACTGAGTGGGTGTTTTGTTTTCCTTGAAACTGTGCACAGTAGGTTTTAATATGTTTAAATATGTTCATATGTGTGTTTCCTAGTTTTTTCATTTGTTCATTTCTTTGTTTGAGACAGGATCTCTCTGTAGACAGACTGTCCTTAAACTCACAGAGATCTGCTTGCCTCTGCCTCCTAAGTATATGATCATGGCCATTCTTCCACCCCCACCCCCACACACTACCCCACTCCTTTTTAAAATTATGGAGAAGTTAGTTTTGAACACAATTCCTGACCTCTGGAGGCGTGAGCTCCTGCTGCAGAGTTAGAGATGAGTGAAATGTGTTAGAGACAGAGCAGGAAGAGTTAAGGCCAGATTGGTAGGAGAGGTGAGGGGTCCTCTGGCTGGAGAAGGTTGGTCCTCAAGGCCAGTGGTGGCTGGGGCTTTGAACCAAGGAGGAGTAGATATGAGCTGGCTTAGAGGCTGGACATGACTTGGGGTTTTTTGTTCAAGGCAGACTGAATAGAAACACCAGAGTCAGGCAAGAGCACGTGCATGGTGTGTGGCTGCAGAGGGCAAGCAGGTCTTGTCAGTCCTTCCCAGCCTGCAGCATCACCTTCCAGTCCAAGAGCAAAGGCCTCTCTTCCTGATAAACTATCATTATCCCTGAGGGCCTGTTTGAGTGTCGTCCAGACTGGTAGTACATTATCTATCTGTCTATCCCTTCTTCCTAGTGTCTGTCCCTGTGTCCCTGTGCCCTCGGTAACAAGTTACAAAAGTGACTTAACAAGCAGTTGTTACTTTATATAGGTCAGCAGTTTAGAGACCAAACTCCACCTCACCACACTGAAGTCACAGTCCCCACCAGAGTCCTTCTAGAGACCCCAGCGAAGATTGTCCGCACCCTTGCTGTCTCCCAGGGTCATCCACAGCCCTTGACTGTGAGCCTGTGGAGACTTCACATTACTCTGCCTCTGACCTTCCTGTTCCCATCTAAGGACACATGGAATGTCCAGTCATGCCTCAGGACTGTGCTTGGAGTGGGGGCTGGCTGGCTAGATGGCCCCACTCTTAATCCCGGGGCTCTTACTCATCTCTTAGAAGTGTCCTGTGTATGTCCTGTTTGTGCCCCTTCCCTCAACAGCCCTGCAAATGCTCTACCTCACATGTGGTCAGTTATCTTTCTGTGGGTCCCCAGGCATATACACCAGGAGACTCCTGATTTATTTATCAAGTTGCCATCTTGAGCCCTGTTTGAATAGTTTTGTTTTCAAGCAGTTTCCTATGGGAGACCTCCCTCCTCAGGCCAGTGACCATCCCTTTAGGTCTTTTGATGGCTTCATGCTTACTCATAAAAAATATGGTGTTTGACTACATTAGGCTTCTATGAGTTTGGTGGGTGTGAGTCAGGTCTCGCCTTGACCTAGCTGGGAGGGATGAATGTTGTTTCTTGATGTCAAGGCTCCAGCGTGCCAGGGCTGCCTGCCAGTGCCTGTTTCTAAGCAACACATTATAGGTGGCAAGACAACTTTCTCAGAAGTTCATGACAGTGGCAAGCCGGGGGTCTCCAGGGGAAAATGCCAAGACCCCCAAAGCACCCACCTTTCTCCTGCCACTGCTAGAGGAGGAGAAAGTGTTGGGCTCCTGGGTTCAGGCAGGTCAGCCAGAATCTACCAGGTTTTGGCCGT